CTTAGACACACTAGATACGCCGAATACGACAAAATGATTCATATTTGTTGTTCATAATCACAAAAGCACATGATAAATATGTATTTTTAAAAATCCAAAAACTTCGCCAGAGGCAACATACAATGCACATGTTGTTTCGTTTCTTTGCAAGCAATACGCATGCGCCTCAACTCGGTATATTGGGATATTGGTATCCGAAGTGTAACTTTAAGTGTCTAATATCATCCCAGGGTGTACAACTTATGCTAACTTTGCAAAATGATTAACAGACTTCCATAAGAGTTTAAGGTTGGGGTTATGATTAAATTAGGGTTAGGATTTCAGCAACTGGTTTTATAAAATGTCTGGATTACTCTTGTAGACCGTATTGCTCGGGGAGCACGTGTCTCCTCAAAACGAATTCTCATAATAATTATAAATACAAAACAAACTCTTTTAAAAACACACTAACCAAAATAAAATAAGACTACAAGAGAATGTATTTTTTGAATGCTCTTCCAGGTTTACATAACTAGAAACTAAATTCAGTTTTTTCAATAAATTCACGAAAAAAAGAACTCAATACAAAGTGTAAATGTCTACATTCATACAGGTTTGCCCAACATTGTCGTGTTCTGTATAGCCTGCCAGATCTTCTCCGTACCAAACTCTGAATTTTTGACCCTTGTACAACCATTTATAGCCTGGCACATCGAATGTGAGAAACGGTGAGTTCTCTGTGTATCCAGGTAATGCATACCAGTTACCAGTGCCGGGTGTGACAAAAGTTGGTGAGGGGAAAATGCATTTGTTTCTCGTGTCTGAAAACAAATCAAAGATCTTAAACATTTTGATTCCGTTTGTTTCTTGCTTTGTTCAAGTGATATTTTCAATTTCTCGAAGGTGCAAGGCTAGGAAGGTACAGCTAAGTAAAGAGTAAAGTCGAAGTTCTCCGTATAAAGGACCTATATAATTATTCCAAACCCTGTATACTCATGCAAAGAAATAAAACTCGTTTATCTTTAAGTTCCTGCTAGTTTCCCGGGTATAGGAGGCCTGGCAGTCGGAGCAGTTTATTTTGTAAACTGCACCTTGTGGTTCGTTGGGTTGTTTTTTGTCCTTTATGTTCAATAGTACTTGTCGAAACGTTGTGATTGGTTTATGTGCGACACGTATGTTGTATGGTCGTAAGATACGCGAGATAGTCTCAGACGTACCTTTGATGTAAGGTATCGTTGCTGTTGCCAATATGTTGTTCTTTCGATGGGTTTGTTGGGTTTGTAAGTGTTGCGTTTGATGAAGTTAGAGTTATAGTTGTTTTTGTCAAAAACACGTTTGAGATAGTTGTTTTCGTTGTGTAGAACTTCCGGTGAATCCCATATGATTTGTGCACGTCTTGTTAATGTTCTGACTCTGGTGGCTTTGTGTGATGTAGGGTTGTAAAATGATTAGTCTAGTAGTCGGTCAGTGTGTGTTGCTTTGCGATAAACTGTTGTTCGTAGTTTTTGATTGTCCTGTTTTACCAAACATTCGAGAAAAGGAAGAGCTCCGTTTTCTTCGACATCTTTCGTAAATTGTATGTGGCTGTTCTGTTTGTTGATGTGAGTGTGAAAGTCATCAATCTCGTCTGCATGTAGTGCTGTGATTGTGTCATCTACGCAGTGGAGCCCAAAAGGTAGTGCATGTTTGTAAGTCGTGAGCGCCCGCTCCTCTATAGACTGCATTACAATTTTAGCAACTACAACAGAAACGGGTGAGTCCATTGCATTTCCATGTAATTGTTTGTAGTGTGTACCTTTGTACTGGAAGAAAGTCGAGGTGAGGCAGAGCTCAGTAGCTCCATAATGTCTTCTGTCGGTAATGGCAGTACGTCCGTGGTGTTTGTAATGAGGGTTTTTGTACAAATAGGTGCCAGATTAAGTGGAATACTGGTGAACAGTGAGTTCACATCAAAAGACACTAGTACATAGCTGTCCAGTATTTGTATAGTGCTCAGTTTTTTAATGAAAGTTTCAGTGGATTGTAGCTTGTGTTTTGATTTGCTTGTAAGTGGTTACAGTATGTCAGTCAAGTACTTTGAGAGTTCGTAAGTAGCCGAACCACGAAATGATACAATTGATCGCATGGGTAATTGTGGTTTGTGAAGTTTTGGTAGTCCGTATAGTCTAGGTGGTCGTTGTATTGAACATCTAAGTCGATAGTAAATACATTCAAATATAATGTTAGATTTTCTCATAGAGAAGATCTTGCTTTCAAGTTTGCGTACTGGTGATGGTGTTGGGTCTCGTTTGAGTTGTTCGTACGTTTCTCTGTCGTTAGCAAGGGTGTCCATTTTGTCTAAGTAATCATTCCTGTCCATGACCACAGTCACGCGTCCTTTGTCTGCTGGTAAAATGACGATGTTGTTTTCGTGTTTTAGTCGTTTGAGTGCTTGTTGCTCGTTCTTTGTCAAGTTGTTGTCACGTATAGAAGACGATTGTAAAGCGGAGGCTACCCTGCTTCTGATCTCGTCTTTGGTTGTCTCTGACAAGTCTCTTTGATACGCTAGGACAGCCTCGACACTTGATACCATCGTCTCAGTCGGAATTCGTCTAGATGTTAAGGAATGTTTTAGTCCATAAGATAGTAGACGTGTTTCAGTTTCGTTTAATGAACGGGAACAAATAGTCCTCACCCAGTTATCGTCATGTTTATGTGTTGTACGTGTTTTAGAGCGTTTTAAACGTTCAAGTTTTGTTGTTGTTTGATTTGGTGTTGTGTCTCTGTCTTGTTTGCTCGTTTGTCTTTAATAGTTTGTATCGTAGAAAGTAAAGTAAAGTATCACTTACTGTCGTTGGTATGATTTCCTTGATCGTGACTAAAACATCACACGAGTACATACAACTACATACTAGTACATACGAGTGATATACGAGTACTTACGACTAACATACGAGTAAATACGAGTACATACGAGCGACATACGACTGTATACTGGACACAAATGAGAAATAGCACAATTTCTTCAATAATACATTGATGTTGGCATTCACTTTTGCTTGTATTTGTCTGGACTCTGGGGCAACCACTTGATGAATTTAAATGCTGAAAAGGTATTTTATTCGCACATTCATTTGTATGTTTCAGTTGAATTTGGTGTCCGTTGTGCGCAATGTCTTAATCTATTGAACGGTTTAAATATATCAACAACGGTAGTCTAGCGTTGGAGTTGCCATAAAGTAAACTCTCGTACAAAAAACATATTATACGTATTTTGTCGATGCAATTTGCCAGTATTTGAGCGCTTTTTGACACACTTTCACCTCGCAAATACATATTTATCAAAGCGATCAAATATACAGCGTATAAATAATGCCTTGCAAACGTGCTATATGAAATAAATGTACATTATATATATTTGAAATGAATGACAGTTGCACTGTGTTACGTATATGTGTCATATTACGCGTACGATTTAAATAATTCAGTCTTTGAACTGCAAAGTCAGTATCTTAAAGACTGAAATAAATTATTTATAATATTTAAAAAAGGGGCTGGATATGAGCTAATGTGCAATCTGATTGATTCCTTGCTAAACTACCTCATATTTCTTTGGTAGAATATATAAAATGTATGCAACATTTGAGGAGTAAATCCACATCAATTAATTATATTACAAGTACATCTAATTGTTATTTTTGTCCAAGACTTTTAACTTATTATTATATTAATATAAGATTACAAATAGTGGACACATGCTTTAACAGTTCTCAGAATAACTGCTCAATATTTTTTGTACGAGAGCTTACTTTATGGCAACTCCAACTCAAGACTACCGTTGTTGATATATTTAAACCGTTCAATAGATTAAGACATTGCGCACAATGGACACCAAATTCAACTGAAATATACAAATGAATGTGCGAATAAAATACCTTTTTAGCATTTAAATCCATCAAGTGGTTACGCCAGAGTGCAGACAAATACAAGCAAAAGTGAATACAAATATCAATGTATTATTGAAGAAATTGTGCTATTTCTCATTTGTGACCACTATATAGTTGTATGTCACTCATATGCACTCGTATGTACTCGTATGTCAGTCGTATGTACTCGTATGTTCTCGTATGTCACTCGTATGTACTTGTATGTCACTCGTCTGTACTCGTATGTACTCGTGTGATGTTTTTGTCACGATCGAGTTCCTTCAGTTTGTTCAGTCTTTGTTCTTGTTGCTTGATGTAATAGTTGATTCGTCTGTGACAGTAGTTAATCGGTGCACGTATCAGTTTTCTGCTGGTGGATTTGACAATCTGGATAGCCTCTTGTGTGTTCAACGGCGACTTAATTCTAAGTCCTGCTGGAACGAGACCAAAATCCTTGCAGCGGTGGTTGAACCAGAGCTGTTGGCGTATATGTCTGACGATGCTTGCAAAACGTATGTAGTCGTTAGCAAGTTGCTCGCTCTGTTGTCCAAATGATCGTAATAAAGTAAATGGTTTGATCCCGGGAGTTTTACAACAAAAACAGTCCTTCTCAGGACTATACCAACCTGGACGATCTACATTTACAAACATGTAACGATACTCCCGGGTTCAAACCATTTACTTTGAATAAAGCGGTAGAATTTACGCGGAGACAAAGATTTTGACGTATGCGTGACAAGCTTTTCTTAGATAGTCAATAGATCTATACGTTATGTATGAGTCTATGATGAAGTGGAGTCTATGAAATGCAGTGATTAAAAATTGTTGTATAATTCAAAGTTTCCTTGCTCTGATATTTTGTCACGTGCGTTTCTTATTAATGTCTTAATAGGCACAAATGATCTGTTTCTTTACAAATAACGATCAATTTTGAATTTGTGTACTTAATGCTGTAAAAATTTAGAAAAATTTTGCAACGCATGCATGCTCAAGGAAGTTTGAAATACTAAGTAAATAACATAAATCGTAGAAAATATCTTTAAATACTTGAAATACCAAGAAAACTTTCTTTAAAAAAGAATCAAAATGCTATGATAAAAAAATTGATTATTTCACCTGTGATGATCATGTTGATTGTTGTTTTGCCCAAAATTCCTGGCAAAAAACAACCCCAATTCGTGTTTGCCTTATAAAAGCAACCAATTTTCCCGCTGACATGAGTCAATCTCAGTGCAATTATGAAGGTTGATGACCCCGAGAATGTAAATTCTTTGAACTGACTATTCTTGGGTTTTACACACAAATTGGACGCGATTGTGCACCAGCCTGAATGTGAAAAGTGGTTGACATAAATAAAACCGTTCTCTGTCTAATACCCACATAAATAATAATCATTAGTTTCAATCTTTATTGTATCAAGAACAAGTCAAAGTTTATAAAGGATGGTTTGACAGTTATAAGATCATGCGCTCAGCATTGTCAGGCATTTAATAAATGATGTTAAGCGATGTGTGCAAACTGGTGCAAACGCGCTTAACACGTCGAGCCTTAAAATGATAACGCTTATGATCATGGTATAAAATATTTCACGACGCCTTGCAAACGCGTATTGACAGCTGCATATTCGCTTAAATGACAAGTAAAAAATACTAGTTCTACATCTTACGAAGCTATTTTACCGCTCAGTGCGTATGCCTTAGCTCAACATTCTTGAGTGAAAAGAAAATGTTGAGAGCTGTTTGAAGCTCTCAACAACGCTCAATAGCACTTAACTCCTTTCAAGGGGATAAGAATACCATGCATGTTGAATGAATGCTCAGTCAGCATGTTGAGAGCGTTTTCATGTGGTTATATAGATTGGAACATAGACTTTCATGTCAGCTTTATATATCTCTGCACGCTGTTGCCCAAAACAAACATAAAACGTGAGATAAAAGAATAACACCAGCTTAAATATTAGAGAAATATGAGAGCCTAAATTTTATTTTTATATACATAATAATAACTTAGTACCATCTTTAACTTCATCGTGAGACTATTCTCGAAAAAGTGTGTTTACAGTAAACCGAAAGAAAAATTTTGCTCTTGATTCTGACCTACCTGCAGATGCCAATGGTATTGTAATTGCCAAAAAGAAGAAAATAATTTTGAGCATCATGGTTTCGCTGAAACAAATTGCAGATTACTATTGTTAACTTAAAACATAATGATTCAGTACTAAATTAAAATATTTAGGACTCTCCAAACTTCGTTTGTAGATACATTAAAATACATTCTGCATAAATGCTTCTGCATTGTTCCACAAAGATATCTTTAGGCACAATTCAGATTCAAATCTTCATTCGTTAACTTTAATTCAAAAATTTCGATTAAAAATTTTACCTTTCAATGTCAAGATTTTTCAAAGATACTCTTTCCTGCTTTGAATCCGTTTGAATGAAAATGTTCTTTAATTGCTCTTATATATAGTCAGAAATATTGCAAATGTTGCGTCATGCGCATGAAAAACAGGATGTAGCTATAAGCTATATGCATGACCATGCGTAAGGAAGCGTTAATATAGATGTTTTTGCAAATATATCGTTTTGCACAACAAAAGCTTGGAACCTTATCGTCATCGCAAAACGATAACTTTTTGTAAAAATTTTTAGCAAACTGTTGCTTTAAACGTGAATTATTAGTAAAATAGCATTCTCGTGCGATACTATTCCATATTGATTTTGTGAAAGTATCTTGCTTAAAAGTCACGCATTCGTAGTGAAAAGACGCCACGATTTTAGCCAAGTTGGCTTTCTGTTAGATGCCTATTCTGTGTTTAAGACTTAAGTTCATCTGCATTACACCGTGGCGTTAATATATTCACAGGCAGTCAAAGAGAACAACTTGTTGTTATGAAAATATTTTAATTGGGTAATATTAATACAAAGTGCTAAAGCATTGGATACAGCAGCAAGAAATAATCATACATTTAATAACTAGTCATGGATTTTTCTCTTGCTTTGATTAGAGGTTTGAATTGTTTACACATGCTGTCTAGAAAGTTAATGAATCTTTGCGTGCATTATAATAACCGCTATACAATATGACTTTGTTCACAACATGATAAGTCCTTGTAACTTCCTGTCTAAAATTAAAATTCAAGGTCATTAAATGCTAAGTATTGGCATTGGGTCAACTTATAATGTTCATCATGAATGCTTTTAGGGGAATTTTCTTCCTTCGCCCAATTCAAATAGGTCTTTTTCTCCTTAAAAACGATTTATGTAACTGAACATTGTTTATAACTAACCATCTTTTCTAAGAATGTAGATTCTGTTGTACTAAGTTTTTGCTATTAAGTCAAATGATCTTGTTACTGTTGTATCATCGTGAATATCTATTTGGAAAAATCAATCATGTTACACAACTCGTAGTGAAGTTTAACTGGTTTAAGTAATAGGTTTTAAACGAAAAAGATCTCTCTTTACATCTTCAGTCTTTATCTCATATGTTTATCAAGTTTATCTCCTTGCACGTAAACACATCACGTTTTGAATTGTATATAATTCCTTCTATTATTCGGGGATTGAATAATGCAATAATTATTAGCGCGTTTCAAACGGTCATTACTATAATTGATGATCAAGGTCACTGCAAACTCTGGTCTAAAACAAACTGCTTCTTCGAATTTATAAAATAGGATGTCTTCTTTCAATCCATCTCTCACATACTTGTATTTACAACGTTTGAACAGAAAGTTTAAATATATGTGTAGTATATAAAAGATATAGGATTTTATCTCCTTTTACCAAGTAAAATAGTTAAAGAAATATAACTTGTCATACTTCTATTCCAAGTGTTGGCACTGCATGAATTACGGCGTTGAGTCGATATATGGTTGCCGTTGTATTTCATTTCATTATTAAACTCAAATTGTTAGTTTTAGTTTTAAAAGTAAAAGTACACAGCAGTTGAAATTGTTAGCTCTTATTCAACACATCTTTTATTGTAGTTGTTGCTCTATTTAACGAGGGTAAGCCCAAGTTTAAAATTCTGATTTTCTTCATCTGTCGCGAAAATACAGTACCCCATGACTAACACGAAGTCATTGAACTAATCAAAATCTTTTTTGGGTCTTTCCACGCATGGGTGTTACTAATGACACGTATAATGAAATAAGACATGATTTACTTGCATAATATACTGCCACATTAGAAATTGAATTGCTGTGAGTTCCATGGCAGCTATTATAAAATGCAAATATAAGCAAACACTGTTCACGAGTAGCACGAGTGAACACGTGATGGAACTCATGGTAGTCTTGTTATTGTTTATTCTGTAATGGAAATATCTTGTGTCGAATGCCTTGGTTAAATACAAAAACCATGATTGTTTATAGTGATAAGCACTGGTGAGAGTAGCTTCGTGTGATGTTGTGTCGAGATTTTGGATGAAAAAAATATATTTTACCAAAGTCTTGAGCAAATCAACTGTATCTTCTTACAAAAGTTCACAGATCACTGGTTCGTTATGAAATAATTCTATATGTAGAAAAATATTATAATTTATACGTTGTTCAATTAACTCTTCTAATGATCCATTTCCAATTTTGTGTTTAAAATTTCATGTAGTTACCCTAACCCATATCATTCTTTATTAGTTTATGATGAAGAATCGTTCAAAAGGATAACGCGTTTAATTTATATCTGTTTTAAATCATTATCTCTTAATTTAGAGACGTCGCAAAATTTTTCGTAACATTATAAAGTGTCTTTTTATTTGATATGTCAAAGTCGAAATAAGATACAGCATTTGCCTGCTTTCTGCATATTATTATAGACTTGGAATAAAACTTTTCATGTTATTATCCCATGACAAACAGTTTCTAATAATGAACAATAATACGTAAATTCGAAAGACTACCCGATCAATTTATATACACGAGATTATGTTTAACTTAAGACGCAGAAGAGATATGTTAACAGAAAGTCCAATCGTATCAGAATTTTTGATGTTAGTGTTCCCTACTCTTCTGAAGCAAGTTCTAAGGAGACACGCCTTCCAGCAAGATAATTCCGCTAGATCGCAATAGAAAATATAGATGTTTTGCAAATAGGTCGTTATCCCAACAAAAGCTTGAACCTTGTCGTCATCGCAAAACGATAACATTTTATAACAATTTTGGCAAACTGTTGTTTTAAACGTGAATTATTAGTAAAATAGCATTCTCGTGCAATACTATTCCATATTGATTTTGTGAAAGTATCTTGCTTGGAAGTCACGCATTCGTAGTGAAAAAAGACGCCACGATTTTAGCCGAGTGGGCCTTCTGTTAGATGTCTATTCTGTGCTTAAGACTGAAGTTCATTTCCATTACACCGTGGCGTTAATATATACACAGGCAGTCAAAGAGAACAACTTGTTGTTATAAAAATATTTTAATTAGGTAATATTAATACGAAATGCTAAAGCATTGAATGCAACAGCAAGAAATAATCATACATTTAATAACTAGTCATGGATTTTTCTCTTGCTTTGATTAGAGGTTTGAATCGTTTACACATGCTGTCTAGCAGTTAATGAATCTTTGCGTGCATTATAATAACCGCTATACAATATGACTTTGTTCACAACATGATAAGTCCTTGTATTTTCCTGTCTAAAATTAAAATTAAAGGTCATTAAATGCTAAGTATTGGCATTGGGTCAACTTATAACGTTCATCATGAATGCTTTTAGGGGAATTTTCTTCCTTCGCCCAATTCAAATAGGTCTTTTTCTCCTTAAAAACGATTTATGTAACTGAACATTGTTTATAACTAACCATCTTTTCTAAGAATGTAGATTCTGTTGTACTAAGTTTTGCTATTAAGTCAAATGATCTTGTTACTGTTGTATCATCGTGAATATCTATTTGGAAAAATCAATCATGTTACACAACTCGTAGTGAAGTTTAACTGGTTTAAGTAATAGGTTTTAAACGAAAAAGATCTCTCTTTACATCTTCAGTCTTTATCTCATATGTTTATCAAGTTTATCTCCTTGCACGTAAACACATCACGTTTTGAATTGTATATAATTCCTTCTATTATTCGGGGATTGAATAATGCAATAATTATTAGCGCGTTTCAAACGGTCATTACTATAATTGATGATCAAGGTCACTGCAAACTCTGGTCTAAAACAAACTGCTTCTTCGAATTTATAAAATAGGATGTCTTCTTTCAATCCATCTCTCACATACTTGTATTTACAACGTTTGAACAGAAAGTTTAAATATATGTGTAGTATATAAAAGATATAGGATTTTATCTCCTTTTACCAAGTAAAATAGTTAAAGAAATATAAGTCTGTCATACTTCTATTCCAAGTGTTGGCACTGCATGAATTACGGCGTTGAGTCGATATATGGTTGCCGTTGTGTTTCATTTCATTATTAAACTCAAATTGTTAGTTTTATTTTTAAAAGTAAAAGTACACAGCAGTTGAAATTGTTAGCTCTTATTCAACACATCTTTTATTGTAGTTGTTGCTCTATTTAACGAGGGTAAGCCCAAGTTTAAAATTCTGATTTTCTTCATCTGTCGCGAAAATACAGTACCCCATGACTAACACGAAGTCATTGAACTAATCAAAATCTTTTTTTTGGGTCTTTCCACGCATGGGTGTTACTAATGACACGTATAATGAAATAAGACATGATTTACTTGCATAATATACTGCCACATTAGAAATTGAATTGCTGTGAGTTCCATGGCAGCTATTATAAAATGCAAATATAAGCAAACACTGTTCACGAGTAGCACGAGTGAACACGTGATGGAACTCATGGTAGTCTTGTTATTGTTTATTCTGTAATGGAAATATCTTGTGTCGAATGCCTTGGTTAAATACAAAAACCATGATTGTTTATAGTGATAAGCACTGGTGAGAGTAGCTTCGTGTGATGTTGTGTCGAGATTTTGGATGAAAAAAAATATATTTTACCAAAGTCTTGAGCAAATCAACTGTATCTTCTTACAAAAGTTCACAGATCACTGGTTCGTTATGAAATAATTCTATATGTAGAAAAATATTATAATTTATACGTTGTTCAATTAACTCTTCTAATGATCCATTTCCAATTTTGTGTTTAAAATTTCATGTAGTTACCCTAACCCATATCATTCTTTATTAGTTTATGATGAAGAATCGTTCAAAAGGATAACGCGTTTAATTTATATCTGTTTTAAATCATTATCTCTTAATTTAGAGACGTCGCAAAATTTTTCGTAACATTATAAAGTGTCTTTTTATTTGATATGTCAAAGTCGAAATAAGATACAGCATTTGCCTGCCTTCTGCATATTATTATAGACTTGGCATAAAACTTTTCATGTTATTATCCCATGACAAACAGTTTCTAATAATGAACAATAATACGTAAATTCGAAAGACTACCCGATCAATTTATATACACGAGATTATGTTTAACTTAAGACGCAGAAGAGATATGTTAACAGAAAGTCCAATCGTATCGGAATTTTTGATGTTAGTGTTCCCTACTCTTCTGAAGCAAGTTCTAAGGAGACACGCCTTCCAGCAAGATAATTCCGCTAGATCGCAATAGAAAATATAGATGTTTTTGCAAATAGGTCGTTATCCGCAACAAAAGCTTGGAACCTTGTCGTCATCGCAAAACGATAACATTTTATAACAATTTTGGCAAACTGTTGTTTTAAACGTGAATTATTAGTAAAATAGCATTCTCGTGCAATACTATTCCATATTGATTTTGTGAAAGTATCTTGCTTGAAAGTCACGCATTCGTAGTGAAAAAAGACGCCACGATTTTAGCCGAGTGGGCCTTCTGTTAGATGTCTATTCTGTGCTTAAGACTTAAGTTCATTTCCATTACACCGTGGCGTTAATATATTCACAGGCAGTCAAAGAGAACAACTTGTTGTTATGAAAATATTTTAATTAGGTAATATTAATACGAAGTGCTAAAGCATTGAATGCAACAGCAAGAAATAATCATACATTTAATAACTAGTCATGGATTTTTCTTTTGCTTTGATTAGAGGTTTGAATTGTTTACACATGCTGTCTAGCAGTTAATGAATCTTTGCGTGCATTATAATAACCGCTATACAATATGACTTTGTTCACAACATGATAAGTCCTTGTATTTTCCTGTCTAAAATTAAAATTAAAGGTCATTAAATGCTAAGTATTGGCATTGGGTCAACTTATAACGTTCATCATGAATGCTTTTAGGGGAATTTTCTTCCTTCGCCCAATTCAAATAGGTCTTTTTCTCCTTAAAAACGATTTATGTAACTGAACATTGTTTATAACTAACCATCTTTTCTAAGAATGTAGATTCTGTTGTACTAAGTTTTTGCTATTAAGTCAAATGATCTTGTTACTGTTGTATCATCGTGAATATCTATTTGGAAAAATCAATCATGTTACACAACTCGTAGTGAAGTTTAACTGGTTTAAGTAATAGGTTTTAAACGAAAAAGATCTCTCTTTACATCTTCAGTCTTTATCTCATATGTTTATCAAGTTTATCTCCTTGCACGTAAACACATCACGTTTTGAATTGTATATAATTCCTTCTATTATTCGGGGATTGAATAATGCAATAATTATTAGCGCGTTTCAAACGGTCATTACTATAATTGATGATCAAGGTCACTGCAAACTCTGGTCTAAAACAAACTGCTTCTTCGATTTATAAAATAGGATGTCTTCTTTCAATCCATCTCTCACATACTTGTATTTACAACGTTTGAACAGAAAGTTTAAATATATGTGTAGTATATAAAAGATATAGGATTTTATCTCCTTTTACCAAGTAAAATAGTTAAAGAAATATAACTCTGTCATACTTCTATTCCAAGTGTTGGCACTGCATGAATTACGGCGTTGAGTCGATATATGGTTGCCGTTGTGTTTCATTTCATTATTAAACTCAAATTGTTAGTTTTATTTTTAAAAGTAAAAGTACACAGCAGTTGAAATTGTTAGCTCTTATTCAACACATCTTTTATTGTAGTTGTTGCTCTATTTAACGAGGGTAAGCCCAAGTTTAAAATTCTGATTTTCTTCATCTGTCGCGAAAATACAGTACCCCATGACTAACACGAAGTCATTGAACTAATCAAAATCTTTTTTGGGTCTTTCCACGCATGGGTGTTACTAATGACACGTATAATGAAATAAGACATGATTTACTTGCATAATATACTGCCACATTAGAAATTGAATTGCTGTGAGTTCCATGGCAGCTATTATAAAATGCAAATATAAGCAAACACTGTTCACGAGTAGCACGAGTGAACACGTGATAGAACTCATGGTATTCTTGTTATTGTTTATTCTGTAATGGAAATATCTTGTGTCGAATGCCTTGGTTTAATACAAAAACCATGATTGTTTATAGTGATAAGCACTGGTGAGAGTAGCTTCGTGTGATGTTGTGTCGAGATTTTGGATGAAAAATATATTTTACCAAAGTCTTGAGCAAATCAACTGTATCTTCTTACAAAAGTTCACAGATCACTGGTTCGTTATGAAATAATTCTATATGTAGAAAAATATTATAATTTATACGTTGTTCAATTAACTCTTCTAATGATCCATTTCCAATTTTGTGTTTAAAATTTCATGTAGTTACCTAACCCATATCATTCTTTATTAGTTTATGATGAAGAATCGTTCAAAAGGATAACGCGTTTAATTTATATCTGTTTTAAATCATTATCTCTTAATTTAGAGACGTCGCAAAATTTTTCGTAACATTATAAAGTGTCTTTTTATTTGATATGTCAAAGTCGAAATAAGATACAGCATTTGCCTGCCTTCTGCATATTATTATAGACTTGGCATAAAACTTTTCATGTTATTATCCCATGACAAACAGTTTCTAATAATGAACAATAATACGTAAATTCGAAATACTACCCGATCAATTTATATACACGAGATTATGTTTAACTTAAGACACAGAAGAGATATGTTAACAGAAAGTCCAATCGTATCGGAATTTTTGATGTTAGTGTTCCCTACTCTTCTGAAGCAAGTTCTAAGGAGACACGCCTTCCAGCAAGATAATTCCGCTAGATCGCAATAGAAAATATAGATGTTTTTGCAAATAGGTCGTTATCCCCAACAAAGCTTGAACCTTGTCGTCATCGCAAAACGATAACATTTTATAACAATTTTGGCAAACTGTTGTTTTAAACGTGAATTATTAGTAAAATAGCATTCTCGTGCAATACTATTCCATATTGATTTTGTGAAAGTATCTTGCTTGAAAGTCACGCATTCGTAGTGAAAAAAGACGCCACGATTTTAGCCGAGTGGGCCTTCTGTTAGATGTCTATTCTGTGCTTAAGACTTAAGTTCATTTCCATTACAGCGTGGCGTTAATATATTCACAGGCAATCAAAGAGAACAACTTGTTGTTATGAAAATATTTTAATTAGGTAATATTAATACGAAGTGCTAAAGCATTGAATGCAACAGCAAGAAATAATCATACATTTAATAACTAGTCATGGATTTTTCTTTTGCTTTGATTAGAGGTTTGAATTGTTTACACATGCTGTCTAGCAGTTAATGAATCTTTGCGTGCATTATAATAACCGCTATACAATATGACTTTGTTCACAACATGATACGTCCTTGTATTTTCCTGTCTAAAATTAAAATTAAAGGTCATTAAATGCTAAGTATTGGCATTGGGTCAACTTATAACGTTCATCATGAATGCTTTTAGGGGAATTTTCTTCTTCGCCCAATTCAAATAGGTCTTTTCTCCTTAAAACGATTTATGTAACTGAACATTGTTTATAACTAACCATCTTTTCTAAGAATGTAGATTCTGTTGTACTAAGTTTTGCTATTAAGTCAAATGATCTTGTTACTGTTGTATCATCGTGAATATCTATTTGGAAAATCAATCATGTTACACAACTCGTAGTGAAGTTTAACTGGTTTAAGTAATAGGTTTTAAACGAAAAAGATCTCTCTTTACATCTTCAGTCTTTATCTCATATGTTTATCAAGTTTATCTCCTTGCACGTAAACACATCACGTTTTGAATTGTATATAATTCCTTCTATTATTCAGGGATTGAATAATGCAATAATTATTAGCGCGTTTCAAACGGTCATTACTATAATTGATGATCAAGGTCACTGCAAACTCTGGTCTAAAACAAACTGCTTCTTCGAATTTATAAAATAGGATGTCTTCTTTCAATCCATCTCTCGCATACTTGTATTTACAACGTTTGAACAGAAAGTTTAAATATATGTAGTATATAAAATATAGGATTTTATCTCCTTTTACCAAGTAAAATAGTTAAAGAAATATAACTCTGTCATACTTCTATTCCAAGTGTTGGCACTGCATGAATTACGGCGTTGAGTCGATATATGGTTGCCGTTGTGTTTCATTACATTATTAAACTCAAATTGTTGGTTTTATTTTTAAAAGTAAAAGTACACAGCAGTTGAAATTGTTAGCTCTTATTCAACACATCTTTTATTGTAGTTGTTGCTCTATTTAACGAGGGTAAGCCCAAGTTTAAAATTCTGATTTTCTTCATCTGTCGCGAAAATACAGTACCCCATGACTAACACGAAGTCATTGAACTAATCAAAATCTTTTTTGGGTCTTTCCACGCATGGGTGTTACTAATGACACGTATAATGAAATAAGACATGATTTACTTGCATAATATACTGCCACATTAGAAATTGAATTGCTGTGAGTTCCATGGCAGCTATTATAAAATGCAAATATAAGCAAACACTGTTCACGAGTAGCACGAGTGAACACGTGATAGAACTCATGGTAGTCTTGTTATTGTTTATTCTGTAATGGAAATATCTTGTGTCGAATACCTTGGTTAAATACAAAAACCATGATTGTTTATAGTGATAAGCACTGGTGAGAGTAGCTTCGTGTGATGTTGTGTCGAGATTTTGGATGAAAAAAATATATTTTACCAAAGTCTTGAGCAAATCAACTGTATCTTCTTACAAAAGTTCACAGATCACTGGTTCGTTATGAAATAATTCTATATGTAGAAAAATATTATAATTTATACGTTGTTCAATTAACTCTTCTAATGATCCATTTCAATTTTGTGTTTAAAATTTCATGTAGTTACCCTAACCCATATCATTCTTTATTAGTTTATGATGAAGAATCGTTCAAAAGGATAACGCGTTTAATTTATATCTGTTTTAAATCATTATCTCTTAATTTAGAGACGTCAAAAATTTTTAACATTATAAAGTGTCTTTTATTTGATATGTCAAAGTCGAAATAAGATACAGCATTTGCCTGACTTCTGCATATTATTATAGACTTGGCATAAAACTTCATGTTATTATCCATGACAAACAGTTTCTAATAATGAACAATAATACGTAAATTCGAAGAGACTACCCGATCAATTTATATGCACGAGATTATGTTTAACAAGACACAGAAGAGATATGTTAACAGAAAGTCCAATCGTATCGGAATTTTGATGTTAGTGTTCCTACTCTTCTGAAACAAGTTCTAAGGAGACACGCCTTCCAGCAAGATAATTCCGCTAGATCGCAATAGAAAATATAGATGTTTTTGCAAATAGGTCGTTATCCCCAACAAAAGCTTGGAACCTTGTCGTCATCGCAAAACGATAACATTTTATAACAATTTTGGCAAACTGTTGTTTTAAACGTGAATTATTAGTAAAATAGCATTCTCGTGCAATACTATTCCATATTGATTTTGTGAAAGTATCTTGCTTGAAAGTCACGCATTCGTAGTGAAAAGACGCCACGATTTTAGCCGAGTGGGCCTTCTGTTAGATGTCTATTCTGTGCTTAAGACTTAAGTTCATTTCCATTACACCGTGGCGTTAATATATTCACAGGCAGTCAAAGAGAACAACTTGTTGTTATGAAAATATTTTAATTAGGTAATATTAATACAGTGCTAAAGCATTGAATGCAACAGCAAGAAATAATCATACATTTAATAACTAGTCATGGATTTTTCTCTTGCTTTGATTACAGGTTTGAATTGTTTACACATGCTGTCTAGAAAGTTAATAAATCTTTGCGTGCATTATAATAACCGCTATACAATATGACTTTGTTCACAACATGATACGTCCTTGTATTTTCCTGTCTAAAATTAAAATTAAAGGTCATTAAATGCTAAGTATTGGCATTGGGTCAACTTATACCGTTCATCATGAATGCTTTTAAGGGAATTTTGTTTCTTCGCCCAATTCAAATAAGTCTTTTTCTCATTAAAAACGATGTATGTAACTGAACATTGTTTATAACTAATCATCTTTTCTAAGGATGTATATCATGCTGTCATTGGCCAATTGTTGAACAACTGGTAACAGCATTCCATTTTGGACCATTGTAAAGCTTCGGCAAGTTGGTGGTGGAGCCATATTCATGACCTTGCTGAATTTGACCATTGCAGCTTGCCCTCGACCAATTTCTCGAAATGCTAGGACTACTTGGACATTAACTTTGTGTGAACAGCCTTGCTTTTTAGATGTGTTGAAACTATGCTTCCTCACATTCTTTATTCTTACATTGAAGGACAATATAATGTGTATAGCCTTTCCTTTTCCTCAAGTCAACATGGGATTCCACACTGCTTTCGCAATCAGGGCATTTTAAAATTTCATCAAAAACATCAAACAGCAAAGACAAGTCCATAAACACGGTACCTTCTTTTGCAGTGTGTAGATTATTAAAAGTTTCGCCAATGCTCCTCGTTTGATGACTTATTTTCTTTCCAGAAGGTCCAGGGTTTGCGTCATCGTTTCCGCCATGTTTTGACTTCTTTGCCATTTTTCATGGCAGAGTTCTAACAGCTTTTCTCTTTCTATTTCGACTATTCCTTATTATTTTTCACTCCTGGCCCAGGGATTATTATCGGAATAACAAAAGGAAAGGTCCGAAATACTAACAAAAAGACTTTTCTCCTTAGAGATACAAAATATAATGTTTTTTGAATAGCAACTTTTCGAACAATGCGAGCACGCGATCAGCTCATTGAGTTCTATAATAACTGGAGGGGAAAAGGGGCCTGGACCCCGTGGTCAAAAATATGGCGGTAATGGCGGATTTGGTCATAGATATAGTAGGTCTAGATTACTGACGAGCCGCCGTATTGCGTGACATCCATTAAAAATCCAAGATGGCGTGGGAACCGGGCAAAAAACATAGAGTCACTAAAGGGCAATTGATGTTTTTCGCAATTTACTTCTTCTCATTGTTTTCAAACTCTTCCGATGAAGTTTTATTGGAAAAAAATCTTTATTTCAAGTGTTTTGAAACCATTTTGGACAGTTATAATTGAAATACGGGTGAAAATATCGCTTTCGAATATTGTGTAAATTGGTCGTTTGGTTGTCTCGAGTCGTTCGTCCACTAAAATAAACAGATTTTGTCAGCTTTAGCTCCCATACTGGTTTGTTACGCCTTGAAAAATATCATATTGACAATTTATAGAAAGTTGGGAAAATCAATCTGAACATTTATGACAAAAAAACAATTTATTTACGAAGGTACTCCCACTGTACTCGTACTGATATGTGAGATTCATCCACAGTTTAGCGAGGCCATTCGACTTTGAATGAATGGAGAGAGGAGCAAGGAGATACATAACACTGCAGCACTATTGTTTACTGACTAGTTGTTAGAAAAGCTGTTAATGTTGGGAAACGTAACTGAAGGAAACTTGCCTCATTTCATTGGCTATACTTATGAGATCTTACAGCTAAGTTGTTATACGAAAGAGAAGGAAACATATGTTCAGTAGCTTGTTATATTACTGTTTATTTCAAAATCTGACATAGTAACATTCAAACGCATAACTCAAGATACTGTTACAATACAATTTTTGGAAAGAGTTATAAAGCTCTGGATAAAGTAATTATTTTTTTTACCAGAGCTAAGGTGTTTATTGAATTTATATATTATCTTATGAAATATTTGATATAGATATCATTGGTGGTATAGCCAGACTGAACATTTTACTGTTGCTATGTAAATTTCACTGCATCATTGTTCATTTCATTAAGAATCTCTTGTTTTGCAGTCAGTGAACACAGTGACATTAGGATAGCATGACCAAATAAAATGCTGGCTATGGCACCCAGTATATTTTATGACACCTATGTACAAAGATAAGTAAAGAAGATAAAAAATTACGGATATTTCACCATTCAATACATGAAATTTTACGTATAAAGAAAATTGCCATACAGTTACAGTTTTCAGTTACATACGTGTGTACAGTAAAATATTTGTACACCAGTTCTCCAAACTCTACTCCGAGAGAATAGTTTGTAAAGGAGCGCCATCTAAGCGACAAAAGCTGACAAAACTCATCCTTTTTGGAAACGATTAAGACTGTGTCTGTTAAGTGCCAACACATATTTGAAGAATGAAAGAACGAATAGCATCTTGAAGTGAAATTTATGTAAAAAATATGAAGATTAATGTTCCCATCTTTTTGTATGTATTCAATATGATGTCTTTCAACGTAGACGAACCAGTACGAGCTAAAGCAGTCGAAATCCGTTTATTTTGGTAGACAAACGCCTCGAGACAACCAAACGACCAATTTACACAACACTTCGCAAGCAATATTTTCGCACGTATTCCAATAATAATTGTCAATATGGCTTCAAAACATTATTAATAACGCTTTGTTTCCAATAAAACTTGATTGCAGGAGTTTGAAAACACTGAAACGAAGTAAACTGCAAAAACAATTGCCTAATAGTAGCCCCAAGTTTTTTGCCCGGTTCCCGCGCCATCTTGGATTTATCATGAATGTCACGCTGCCGTCTTAATAAGTCTTATATTACGTCACACTCGTCAGCGATCTAGACCTACTATATCTATGATTTTGGTTGTCAAAACTTCCACTTTGAGAAAAATTTTAACATTCGCTCCTCCCGAATTCGGAACTCTATTACTGCTATATCAATGACAACCAGCGAAAACAACCAAGATACCGTAAGCATAAAATATTGAAAATAATGCTTCAGGTTTTGTGAAATAGACACACACATTCTAATGAGGTAAATCTACTGTAAAATAACGTATATTTTGTAAAGTAATGCTTTAGCTATGTTAGAAATAAATATCAAACGGCATTCTTTACACTCGCAATACTTGTGTTTTTGACTGTTTGATAACAGCTTGTTGCAACTGTCTTTCTTGAATAGATGGGTAAATCTTAGTTAAAATGTCGAAAAAGGAGTTAGAAAAAGTTAGCTTACCCCTACGACTTAAGTCGACTGGAAATATATTATAAGTAGGTATGTAATTTTTTTGAGTTTTTTTGGTAGGATTGATTCTGGGTGTCTTATAAAGTATTATGATATTCTGATAAATCTGAGAACTTTTGAAGTAAATATCTTGAACTAGAAGAGCAAAACAATGAAATTCAGAAATTCTATAATCATGTTGCTGGTTCTGTTTTGAGCCAAGATATTAGAAACTGGATTGTCATTGACAACCATGGATCTACTACTGAACAGAACTACATTAATTTCCCATTGAAAATACGATTTCTTAAATTAAAGTGCATTGGCTTCTCTGACATAACACTTTTCTTATTGCTGCATGAAGGCAAACCTGTTTAAATAATTTTAATGTAGATGAAGATATTTAGCAGGTTGTATAATTGTTAATGTACAGTCATTATTTATAATGTTATGGCCTCGTGTAATGTATGTCAAGAAGAACATATTAATTCTCAAAAATGCTAACCTTCTTGCACTACTTTTCTCTTGTGTCCTTACAAATTACAGTTACCTATACTAATTTTTTCTAGGTTCAAACAACTTGACACACTTTTGAATTTTACATTATGCCTTTGAATTTTCCTTTTGCCTTTTGGTAAAATATCAGTGAATGACTTAAAATCAAGTTTATCTATAATAATATCTTGTACAAAGAAACTATACATAATTGGAAAAGTCTCATGTTGAAGACAGATGTCACTTCTTTTACTAGATTGCTATTCTTATTCTTTTAAATAATATCGGAATTCTTCATAATACATAAAAAGTTCTTTGCCATCAATTTTTGCTTCTTCCCCATTCAACGTCATTGCAACCAATGCATCTTATGTGAATTTTTAATCACCTGGAATTGAAAAACGTATGGATTTTGTCAGATGATGCAGTACTATACTTAATGTTTCATGCATTTCATTATAAGCTTTTCTTGAGCAAAAATTTCAAGGTAGGAGCATAATTTGGAACATTATTGAACAAAGTAGTTTTTATCTTGGTTTTGATGTACTAACCTGTTTTCTATGACAAACAATTCATTTACAGAGACACCAGATGGCATTTAAAACTGTTAGCATAAAGCAAACCTTTACACACCATCATCATGATTGTCCATAATCCTTCAAATTGTTCAGGATAGCTGTTTAAGACAAGTATATTTTATTGTACGACATGTACCAAAGAGTTCATTAATTAATCCTGCACTGCATTTGATTTCAATACAGTTCTGTTCTTAATATTTGCTTCATATTTTCAGAAAAATATCATGAAAAAATCCTCCATTTCTCGGAGGTAAAGTCAGTTGAAACAAGGAGTTTTAAGACATGCATATCTCGATAGGAATTGGTTGCTTTGCCTCGTCTAGCAAGCGATGAAGTAAAGAACAAATAAGACTGGATAAACATAACTTAAATTATAATTTAGAAGTAAAAACATTCACAAAATATATACCATCACACTTCAAGTATTGACTTAAAACAAAACACTGAACACTTTTAATGGTAAACAATCTGACGTTGCTTTTCTGGCATTACTTCAGCATCCGTATATCAAACAAGTTTGCAGTATGTTTTAAAAATAAAATTTCTAAAAGTTTTTGTGCTTGGCATTGATATTTTATGTAATCGCAATTGTGGTTGTCAAATCCGGGTGGGCGAAAAAATTTTATTTTATGAGCCCGCGTCTTTCTGCTGACTTTGACAACCAAAATCCGCCATGTTTTTGACCACGCGGCCGCGCGCTATAATTTCTACTAATTTTGTTGACGTTTCCTATGGAATGCCATAGCTGTCTTATATGATCAGTTTTCAATATATGATGATGAGACTTCATTATATGATGATGAAACTTCATTATATGATGATCAAACTTCATTATATGGTGATCAAACTTCATTATATGATGATCAAACTTCATTATATGATGATGAAACTTCATTATATGATGATGAAACTTCATTATATGATGATGAAACTTCATTATATGATGATGAAACTTCATTATATGATGATGAAACTTCATTATATGGTGATCAAACTTCATTATATGATGATGAAACTTCATTATATGGTGATGAAACTTCATTATATGATGATGAAACTTCATTATATGGTGATGAAACTTCATTATATGATGATGAAACTTCATTATATGATGATGAAACTTCAATATATGATGATGAAACTTCATTATATGATGATGAAACTTCATTATATGATGATGAAACTTCATTATATGATGATGAAACTTCATTATATAGTGATCAAACTTCATTATATGATGATGAAACTTCATTATATGATGATGAAACTTCATTATATGATGATGAAACTTCATTATATGATGATGAAACTTCATTATATGATGATGAAACTTCATTATATGATGATGAAACTTCATTATATGATGATGAAACTTCATTATATGATGATGAAACTTCATTATATGGTGATCAAA